TCTTAATGCATCATACACAGAGCTGGCACTAGGCATTTTCTCATCTGATGCAATCTCTATGGGTCCTAAATTCGACTGCATAGTGCCTTTCTAAATTCTGCATCCAATACCTGCTGTAAATTCTAAATGTTTTGCCATTTCTAGATTTTGTTGTTTGGTGTGTCACTAAATTCTAAAAATTCTGCCACACCAGCTCTGTAATCATATTTCTTCTGAATTTCATATTACTAAAGAAATTAAATTAGTCACTTTTCCTATACATTCTAAATGAATTTTGTGTTTTTTTAGAAAAACAGAAATCCTTAATTAAATCCAAAAATTATAAAATCAAAAGGAAACATGCTGAAGAAAGAAACTGAATACATAAACAAAATTATTCTTCAAAGATATGTGCAGTTATTAATATGTAAATTACCCAATTGTTTATAATTTCAGCCGTTACTATAATTTTCCATTTCTGTTTCCTCATATGATAGAGTTACTGAGCCAAATTAAATTCAAATTAAATTGTATAATCTTTGACCACTAGTCCACATTTTTAGTTTGAATTTGACTGTTCTTGTTTAATTACATCACCGTGAGATGTAGTTGACTTTGTTAGCATCAGAACAACAGAATGCCTTTACGTTTGTTCCAAGTTCTTCTTTAATGCAAGGCTTATTTAAACCTTTGTCTGATATTGTAGTTACTTTCAGACATAATGATAATTTGCTTCACGTCTATCGGGGATTTGGGACTATTTAACTTTTACCAGATCAAGTAAACCCTCATAGGTACATTGTGGAGTGGTCGACAAGTTAGGAGATAAAGCACGCAGAAACTAGCGAAATATTGGTTTGCATATTGAGACAAATCTCTAATTATTGTTAGAAAAAATGCTTAAAGAGAAGGAAATCGATATAAACTAGCCAAAATGTTTGAGAAGGCTTCAAATTAAAATGACGGATAAATATTTTGTTGAGTGTTGTTGTTGCAAAACATAAATGTTTTGTAGCTTTTAATGTGTAATTATTCTAATATTGTTTAAGAATCAGTGTCGTAAATTACATGTGTTTTAAACTGTGAAATTTTATTAGATTTTGATTTTAATAGGGCTTTTTTAACCCTTTCGCCGTCCTCTCCTGTCCGCAAAAATTTCTCCTCAGCGGGCGTGTGTTTTTTATAGCGTGTAGTGTTGTTTTCTCTGTACATGATAACTTTCCATACATAACTTTACGAGACGTAGTGGATGAATGTTAATGAATATTAAGTAAAATTATAAGGAAATAAAGCATAATGGAAAAATAATATCTCTGCATATTTCTAACAGCAGGATAATTTGATAACATCTGTTCCAGGCGGTCCACTCCTCCTATTTTGTTGTTGTAATCTTTTACAATTATCGGTTTTTTTACTGTTCTTTTCCGTGTTCCAACATCAATCATTGAGTATAGTGGACTGTACTCATCAAACGTATATCCTTGTTGTCTTTCCAATTCACAATCTCATTTTTTCTCTTTTTCTGCTGAGTAGACGTTGAAGCCATCTCTCACTGTCTTGTATCTTATGTAAAATGGCACGAATATTCATAAAACCTGGGGCAAATTCAATTAGAAATAGAATGCCTGATTACTGCTGCCCTCTAGGAGGTATTAGAAGAAACAAAAATAAAAACTCAAACAAGTAAACATTTAGAAAGAGTTTTAAAAATTTAAAAGTTTTAAAATGTAGAAGAACACTTGTAGCGCATTACGGCCACCCTGCGGAAGTTTCACTTAAAATTAACCTTGACGTGCTAGACGCGTTACAGACGACGAAGAGGTTAACAAATATTGTTAAAAAATAAAATTTAATCGTGCCCATGTTAAGCCATGATGACTAAGGTTACCTATTTACCTAATTTAATTGTTTATAACTAATTGCCTACCCTTAATTATCTCTACATATTAAAGCAAGTTATTGCCTTTCATTAATACTCACTGTGCACAAGATAAAACACAAAAATATAGAAATTCAAGTAAAACTTATTCTTTGCATCTAGTGAGACTTAAAATAACACAAAACAACTTATCACCTGTGGTGCTTTAATGGCTTATTGGAACCTGAAAGTATATTAATTGGGTTACAACCCCCTAAAACTCTGCACTTGATGCAGTTATGACACTAACTGCATCAAACAGAGCCTGACAAACTTTCAACACTTGCCAACCATGCCTACATCAGGCCTTTCAGGTTTGTTCGAATCAACAGTTCTCTAGACAAGCAGCAGAGGTGACAACATTCAGTCTTTTGTTATGAATCATGCTGATTGGGATCTTACTTCTCATTTTAATCTATGCCATTTGACATAAAATCTACCTGCTATTTACTAAACCTCAATTCCCGCAATTCTCAACCTTTTGACTAACCTGTACCATCTAAACAAAAATTGAAAATATTTAGTACCACCACCACTCCTGAACAAAGCTCAGATCGCATAAATTTACAAGTGTTAGAAAAAAAAACTGAATCAGGATATTGGGGTTTTAATTTTTTAAATAAATAGTTAAAAATACTGTGCTTCTTTGTGTACCACCTATTTTTTCTATGCGTACCACCATTTGAGAACCTTTGCTCTAGACTGACCAAGTATGTGACAAAATGAGACATCAAAAAATCAACATAAAGCTAACTATTATTAGAAAACGTAAATGTCACTTATCTTCTTTCAAATATGTCCAACCTATTATAAGTGTAAAATATTTAATGCTACTTGATAAACTGCATGAAGTTTATTTTATTCTCAAACTTATTAATAATTATGTTAATTAATGTTTAGTAATAATGCATACTACTTAGGAATATATTTTATTTTTAGGATGGTATTACAAAAGTGAAATTCAGGCATAGAATAATATTTTTAATTGAATTTATTCATTTCCCATTTGCTCATAGGTCCTTAATTTTTTTCATTAATGATCCTTAAAAGTCCTTAATTTCCGTGTGCAGAAATGTGTACGGACCCTGTTTAAAGTTTTGATTAAACTTGTAGAACTTCAGTTTTAATAAATTCAGTCTTTTACAAAAAATTTCTATTTATTTCAATTTATGATTTAAAAATTTTTCAATGAAATCAAATTAAATTAATTCAATTAAAATTGTTATTCAAACTTTTAATTTTTTACTTCAAAAAATTTTTTGAACTTTATTTCAAAAACATTTTTTGACTTTTTACAATCCTTAGTAGTTTGCAACATCTATTTATCTATTTTCACAAACTGTAACAGTTAGCAATTTCTTCAATTTTTTACACATTTATACAATGCTTCACAGTTAGCAACATTTTTGCACACAGAACAAGCATTTTACATTACTTAAGAGTTTACAAAATAGGTTTTTACAATAGATCACACAGGTAGCAGCTTAACACTCAACTTTACATTGTATTAGCGCCCTCTATTTATACAGTTAGCAGAAACAAACTACTCAACCTCACTTAGTTAAGCAAATGCTGTCCGAAATACAAATGTGTAGTTACTAGGTAAATTAAAACTTACTATTTACTTGCCTTTTTAGTATTATTTTTGTATTTTGATAGATTGTAAATAGTTTATTTTTTATTTATGCGCATAATTCGTGTCGGGGAAGTTTTCAAATAGGCAAAGGTTTCTAAATTACTTTGGTTTCCTTAAAAACTTTGGTTTTCTACTCTTATTACATTTGCAATTTATATTTAATTAATATTTTGATTCTTAGTCAATTTGCTTTCTATTTCTCAAAATTTTAGTTTAAATTTCTTTTTTAAGTAATTCACTACATTTGGTTTTACTTTTGGTTTTGAATATTACTATACCCATGCCCATATAAAGAGTTAGATTTGGAGGCAACTTCCCCTTGATAAGATCTGTCTAGTGCCTGCTCAACAATTATTCACTTATGCAAATTAGTTTAGTCTTAAAAATTCTTTTAAAAAACTTTTGGAATATTATATACTTTTTCGTGGTTTTAGATACTTGCACTTAATTTACATATGCTCTCAGAATTTAACCTTTAACTGCTGTGACAATTTTTCGGCGTAATTACTGTGAGCTGTCTCACAGACTGTTTTAAAGAAATGCCTAAAAGTACATACTTTTATACCCTTTTAAGGAATGTTATAGATACTTTATGCATATTTATGAAATTCTAATTTATTTAAATCAATATATTTTAAACATAAATCATTTAATTTTACGCTGTTAAATTCATATAAAAGTATGACTATTTTCTTTGTTTTAAGGAACAAAGATTTTATTAAACATGCATGAAAACACGTGACTTTATTAAATAATATAAATATATTAGTATATCTTTGTTTACAAGGATGAATCATAAGATGATATACAGTCAAAACACATTTTTTGAGAGCACTGAAGACACACTGGTTCCTTACATTCCAAGCATTTGCGTGCTTTTTTTTCTCTGCCTACAAGGTGGGCACAGACTTCATGTTTTTCTTTCTTCTAATTTTTCTTCTTTATTTGATAAATTCTTCTCTTAATTTCCTTCTGTACAAAGATTCTTCAAATTGTTATGTTCAGTTCCCTTGGCAAAAAAAGCAGAAGTTATTCCAACTTTCAGATGTGGTTTAGTTGTTGATTAGCTAATAAAAGCATGATTTTTTTTTTCTTTCAGTTTTGCGGCATTGTTTCTTTTTTCCTCCATTTGAAGTGCTTTTTTCCATAAAAATTATCATTTTGTTCACAGTCATTAAAAAAATTATGATATCATCTGCAGAAACTTTTACTTTCGGTGAATACTACATCATTCTTCAGAATCAGAGTATTCTACATCAAAAAATATTGTTGACAATATATTCAGTTTCTTTTTGAGTGAGATTTATGGGACGTTTTCTTGTAAAATGTGAAGCCATATTTATCACTTTTACGAAAACCAAGCATCCGATAAACAATGTGTATCGTCCACTGAAACTGGTACACATCTGCTGTGAGTGGTCTTAACAAAAAAAACGTGATAACTGAAACCATAATAAAGTTCGAAGCATGAAACCGGATATGTGCCTTGTGGAATGGGTTTGGGAAGGTAGGAGGAAGGACAGGGACCATTCTCCATTTTTAGGGGTGGAAACGAGGTTATAAAATCCTCAGCGGTCTCTCAGACCATTCACAGCAGTTAAAGGTTAAATGATATTGTAAATTAGTTCACAGCAATAATTAAACTTTTATTTATATGCTATCAAAATTTCATAATTTATAATTCAAATTCACTGTAAATTAGCTTTATACGAATGGAAAATATTTGTTAAATTCAAATTTCATTCCTTGCAACAATGATGCAAGAGAATTATTTAAACTTAATTTAACTTTACTATTTATTCTTATATGTATGTATACACACATGCACATCAATTTATATATATTTGTGCATTTATTAAAAATGAATTTGAACAGAACATTATTAAATGTTTAAAAGTAAAGTAAATATATTTTAAGCATTTTATTTAACTGCATAATAAATTATAATTTAATGTGAGGTCTGAAAATGCATCATCACTTCAAACAGAAAAGCTTTTTGCCATTTTTATAAATGCCTGTCAAAAAAACGTATATTTTGGGGATTGTTGTAATAGGTAAAATGAATACCACTCATTCTTTGTCAGAAGGTTCTGCATAAAAACATTCCTCCTTTTTAAGCAGTTAGCATTAGTATGCATTATTGCAAACTGAATCAGTTTAATTACCTATGCAAATAGCATTTAATATCTTATGTATCTTATCTTATCCTCCTTTTTAAGCAGTTAGCATTAGTATGCATTATTGCAAGCTGAATCAGTTTAATTACCTATGCAAATAGCATTTAATATCTCATGTTCACATTTTACATAAATACTGTATATTGAGTATAAGCAGATCCATGTATGATCTGACAGTTGTGATGGTGTTACTGCAAGTTTTAGAGGATCTTTTCAGCATTATTCAAAACAAGTGAGCATTTGAAAAAGTTTCCTACATCACGTTCTCGTTAAAGATTTGCACATGTACAAAATTCAGCTAACTTAACTAAAACAAACGATCATTTGCAAAGGAGAAATTCTGCTGACTAGATTTGGTGGTGCAGTGGGTGGATGAAGATTTTGAAAGAAATGTCATATGCAGTGATAATTTTATCTGAACAGTTTTGTCAACAAATGAAACTCTAACCTTTGACCTACAGAAATGAAAAGCAAAAAAGGAAGCTTATCAGTGCTAAGGGGATTCTTTGTAAATAATGATGGCTTTTGGCAGGAGTGGAATAATTATTATGCATATAAATACATGTTTTAGGCACCAAGCAAAAAAGGAGCATAAGAGAATTTTTTACTCAATAAAATGTGAAGCAGCCCTCTTTCTTTCTTCCTTTCTTTTTAGAAAAAAGCTCCACAGTATTTAAGAAGAGGTTAAATTTGGAAATTTAGGGCCTTGGTTCTGCCCAGTTTATAGGGCATCAAATGGTCTTAATTTGACTCTATTTCTTAGGATCAACTACTTATGAGATTTGTCTTTTGTCATTATAAATAATAGTCAAATAAATTAACAAAGAAATAATTAATAACCGAAAGACAGATATACCAATATTTAGACATACAAAGGTAAATTATACTACTGGTGTATTTTAATTTATTCATCCTGCATATCTGGATTTTTCAGTAATTTAAAATAAATAAATTATATATTATCTGACCTTAAAACATGCATTTATACTGAAATTTTGTAAGCCAAATTAGTTCGAATGTACAATTTTTGTGTAAAGCGATAATTGTTTGTATATTTTTAGTGTGGTTTAAATGCCTGTCTGTGATAAACAAGTGCTCTTGCTCATTTATGATACATATGGTATTTGATTTACCTTCGATATTATAAAAGTGCATTTTTTCATTGTAGAATTAGGTCATCCATTTAAAAAATTGTTTGTCCTAGACTTCTTGATAACATTTGTAAAAAATTCTATTTTATGCTGTAAGTTTTGTAAACGAAATAGATTTCTAATCTGTTACTGCCTGATTGCAAATGCCAGAGTACTGCTACAGCCACATAGCTAGCTGACTTGTGAACTCTTTGCTGACTCTGGAACCTTAGTTGCTCTTTCCTAAAATGTTTCATAAGAGAGAGCTTTTTGACAGAAGACTCATTATTTGCGTCCTTTTCATTTCTTCATATATAGAATTATCGACTCACGATTTGTAAGTACCAGTCATTGCTTGAAAAAAAGTTGGACATTTTTAAAAAGGGATTAACAATTTTATTTTGAAAAGGCAAATTACTTATATTTTGCTTTTACACAGGGAGTATAATATGCATACTCTAATCTGATATGATCTTAAAGTAATGCAATGAAAATTTTAAATACTAATACCTAAAATAATTACAAACATTAAATAATGATACTTAATTGTTACACACTCAACTCAGTTACCTCAAATTAATGTTCAGTCTTTTCTAGTTCTTTTTGCTAGTTTTCTTCGAAATTGTATTTTTCAACAGAATAAACTCCTGACAGAAGAGTTAAATTGCTTTCTTAGGAACATATTTGTAAAATTCCTCTGACTGAGTCTATCATCAAACTTTCCTTTTCTTCTGTCCATTGAGTAATTATGAGAGAAAATGCTCTTTCAATAGATATATTGCTGTCTAAAACGGCAAATATTAAAAATTTCTGAAAATTTTTTAATGTTCTGATCCTTTTTAAAGAAAGAAGATAACTGTTTATTTAGTATAGAGTCTTGACCCAACACAGATTTTCTAGCGTAATTCTTGGCATTTCAGAACTGGTTAAACAGTTTTGAATCATCTACTTTCACACCTTTAAGTTGTAAATATTGAAGACATGGGAAAATGACCTCAAAACGGAAAGCCATTGGAAGCATTTGAATTTTTCCATAAGATGCATCCATCTTTCCAAGTATTCAGTGCTTAGAAATCAGGTGCATTTTCTGTAAATATCTTACACTCTTTTTCCAAGCCATCTTCTGAAAACTAATTCAAAGTGCGTGAAGGTTTGTAAAGGGATGAACTGTTTCTCAAGTCTGTCTTTTAATGAAGCTAGAATAGTTTATAACTCGTGTAGTTCTACAACTGAATTATTTTCCTTTTCAACTGATATAATTTTGTAAAGAAATATAGTGTCACTAATATGCACAGTCATGCCTTGGTCACTGCAGGCATCATGCTGGAGGCTGCACATTACTCCTTGTGTTTGACAAAGACTTACTCTTGAGAGTTTTGAAGACCTGTTTCTCAAGTCTCTCTTTTAATGAAGTTAGAATAGTTTATGATAATTCATATACTTCTACAAATGAATCATTTTCCTTTTCAATTGATATCATTTTATATATATAGATATATATATATATATATATATATAAGGTATGGTTAAGAAAAAATGAAGAAGCTTACGTCCTTGAAAAGTCATTCCGTACATTACTGAAGTCATAAATTTCCTATCCTGAGAGAGAAAGCAGGATTTAAGTGCAGGGTACTAATGCAGAATCCTTTCTACTTCTGGACACAATATTATTAGCTACTCAGTCCTTGAATTATTTAAAAGCTGCTGGTAATTTGTGTCCTCAAATTCACAGAAATCTTTGAGTTCCTCTGTGCGGACTGGATAAAAGAGCATAATATGATGACACTTTCATAACAAAAGATTTAGTATCTAAAGGAAATGCACTGGCTCCAAGGAATTGGATAAAATATGCGTAGCACATCTAACTCTTAGGATGCTTTCATTTAATTATCTTTTGAGAGAAGGATGTACACCCCAACCCCTGCGAGCAAGACCACCAAAGTTAACATTTACGTTATCTCTAGCAATAACCTAAAAGTAACATTATACTTCTTCATGGTATTTGTAATTTAGTTAACAATACTTTCAGAAGTTTCTTTAGGATAAGTTTACAAGTCAAGAATCTTTGTCTGAATGCCATTTCTTTATTAGTTAAGATATTATATAACAATTCGGAACATTTTCTTACACAAGTGAAATCTTACACATATCAAATTTTGTGTTACCCTTTTAGAGTCATTAGATTTATTCGGAACGGAAAAGATAAAATATGAGCAGTGTCCTCATCTGTGCTCGTATTCCAGACCTTCCGATTGCTAGCCAGAAATGTTTCCCAATTACACCACGAAGTAGCACGAGGTAAGGACAGAGAAAAACCTTACAATTTCCTACACTTAAAGGGTGACTGGGAAGAGGGGTTCCAATTCTTAAATACTGGCGATGACGGATTATCGTCTACAACCTTCTAGTTCGGATACCATTTTGGAATCATTAGGTTTATTCAGAGCAGGGAAGATGAAAAATGAGCAATGCCCTCACCGGGACTCGAACATCAGATCTTCCGATTGCTAACCAGAAGCTTTTCCAATTATACCATGAAGTCACGTGGTAAGGAGGGAGAAAAACCTTGACTTCAGCTTCCGAAAATACATTTTTGTTTAAGTGTACAGTTGATTTCGAAGATTGATGGCATGTGATATGCTAGTGTTGCATCTGTGGCTTGAACTAGTTACTGGCGAATATTTTTTATTTATAAAATTAAGTATTGAGTCAGATGTAGAGCAGGTTTATGTTTTCACTGATGTATTTTTATGTCACTATCACCATTGTATCCCACATTAACGTAACTATTGCAAACTGCATATTTCGCTACTCCTTTATTTTGTCCAAGTACAAAGCAAGAATACTTTATTCTTAGTTTATATGAGAATTTGCACCGTTTTTTCTGTTCTTACTCCTTTCTACTTCAGAAAATGATACATGAATTATATGGATACAGTTATATTAATCTCAAATTCTCTATACATCAGCACTTACAAGCACGAAAACGGCAGTTGCAGAAATGTCCAAGCTAAGCCCGGAAAATGAAAATATCAAGGTGATACAAGTCTCGATAAGATATCTTCAATTAAAATTAATACTTTTCCTTTATCTGGTCCCAAATCTGGCAAACTTATTTCATTATGTTTAAAAACGTTATGAAATAAACATTAATAATTAGTATTAATAACAATAATTATGATTATTGAGACTAAGTATTATTTATTGATACTAATTATTAATTGACATTGCAAAATAAATACTAATTGACTTGAGCAATTCCTCTTTTTATAATTAAATTATTTTTCTCATTGTCTTGTTATTAATTATTATGCGTTATATCATATTATTTGTTCTTACGATTTTGCGATATTGCCGGCAGATAAAGGAAAGGCACCTTAAAATATCCGATGCCTCAGTTGTTGGTACCACTTTTCTCCATCCGCATAATTATATAAATAGGTGTTGACAATAAATAGCCTCAGCAGACCTTGTAAGATCGCATTGCTATAATTGCATCACGAAATTGCTTGCCGTTATTGCTATCTCTCCAGTCTTCTATACTGGATTTAGGACGTTTCTCTTGGACTTTTTAAGGTATGTTATGCAAATTTTTAAGATATGCACACCACCTTACGTTGCTCTACACAGGTTTGGGAAGTGTTCCAGGAACTTGACTGTGTGACTTCGTCACTTAAGATTTAAAAAAAAAAAAAAAAAAAAAAAATTGCCCTGCTGCCCTTAATTTGCAGCACTCTAAAAAATGTAAGGGGGGGGGGGAATTCGAGTTCGAAAATGACGATTTCTATCGGGGCTGGATTAATTATTAAGCAGTATAAGCACATGTTTATGGAGTACTGTGGTGGAAAACGCTAACAGAAGCTTTTTGCAGGAAAAAATTATAAAATGCTTCTCCCTCTTTTTTTCTCTATTTTTAGATGAACGAAGTTTAAGGGGAGTCAGAATTGGAACTTTATTTATGGCATTGATTGGTTTTTATTTCAGCTTTACTGCTTTTGCAGATCAGATTTTTATGAGATTTGTCTTTCATTGGGTTATATATCGGAACAAATAAATAAGTGTTGGGGGAAAAAGAAAATATGCCATGCAAAATAAAAGCTTCAGGGAAAAAAGATGCAAAATGTAAGACTAAAGAGAGATGCTCTAAATTAACAGCGATTTTATCTAAAATTTTATATTCAATTCTGTTTGAATTTTACACCAATTTAAAGTTTCTTTATCGTAATAATTATTATTATTTGCTGTTTTTAAGAAAAAAATAATGACTGGTTAAGTTAAACACAGCATAATAGGTAAACATGGAAAAAGAAGTCAAGCTAATAGTACACCCTACTTTACTTAGTTCATAATTATGAATTATTCAAAAATCTGAAAGGTAAAAAATGTACCTTAACATTAAGACATGCATTTATGTATATTGGAAGCATCCTAAACAAAATTTTATGACAATGTAACTTTTATAAAAAAGATATATACTTATACTGAAATTTTTTCCATCCCGATCTGCTTAATATATCTGTTCCTAATTCTCTTCTTTCCATCAGTTCTGGTTTTTTGGTAATTAAGGTATAACTGTGGCTGACTAATATGATTAACAAAGCTGATTCTAAAAATCACCATAAATAAATTTTAAGTCTTCCTTTGTTAAAATTTGCATCTTGCCATTTTTATTTCTGCAAAATCATCTATTTATTCGCTACGTATCCTTCATTTTATCAGCCGTCTGAACTTCAATGCACAGTGACAGACTTGAATGAAATTAGATAGACAGCAGATTAAAATCCAACTCATCTATGCATTTCTTCAGTTCATTAATTTACAAACCGCAGCCATGGTGACTGCCGGAACAGAGAGCCCAAAGAAGGTATGGATGTTTGTAAATGTATAGCGTCTCTGTGGTATGGGGACTCTCTAAATATACGGTAAACCGAAAGTCCTCTCAAGAGGTTGAACGTAGAGGAAAAGGGGGTGGGAGACCCTCGGACCCATTCCCCCCCCCGGGTGACCTTTCTCAAAATTAGGTTTGTAACTAAGCTAAAGTCGGGCTGTCACCTCAAGGCTCTCACCAACGACAGGCGAATTTGATTCCTTGCCACGATGAATGTAGTGGACTTAAGCTGATCTTTGTCAGACAAGTGAGATTCGTAACAACAACAATCTGCAGACCCTTAACTGCATAGCAATTGATTACTGAATAAGATTGGATTATTTGGATTACAGCAAAACGCAGTATTGCTATCTGCCTAAGAGAAAGAATATTTCTGCAAAGGACTTTCGTAGAGAAAATGGCTAGTATATATGACGAACGTTGAAAATACGAAAACTCCCCAACGGCCAGTCCATTCATTGGTAATTGAAGGCTGAGTAAGAAACATTGCTGGGAAAGGAAAAAAAAAAAAAAATTTTTAATAAAAAATAAAAAAATATTGATTGCGTCATGAGTGTGATTCCTAGGGGAAATATTAAAAGAGTACATCAATGAAAGCGCTTGAATACATTGACGTTTGTTCTCACTTGAAGCCACTTTGAAGTCTTTTTCATAAAAAAGAAAAGTTTTCAAGTATTTCTCTTGTGAAAGTTGAAACCTTGAATGAAACTGAGTATCAGTTTTAAAATACTCCGGCTATACTTGATAAGTCTTTATCTGACATTCATCCAAATATGGGGCCAAGCATTGTCGTCATGGAAGACAACCTTAGTGACTGGTCAGTTCTGGAAATTTTGCTTTGATTTCTGTTTTTAACATTGCCATTTGGGAACAGTACTTTTCCAACTTTATTATCTTATTGGTAGCAATAATTCATAGTATAATATATTCCTTTGTAGCCCCACCGTACACAAAGCATTATTTGACTTAGTCTATGATCTTTCTTTTTCTTGTAACATTATAGTATAATAACCATGTCACATCTCATTAATAAGCCGTTTCAAAAAAAAGGAGCTTCTTTATTTCTTACCAGCCAGGAATCACATTCTGAGACTCAAGCAATCTTATTCTGCTCTGTAAAAGCATGTGTACCCATACATCGTAGCAGCTTACGTATCTGGTCCTCTTCAAATAATCATATATTTTTGGACTATTTAGTCTGTCTGATAGTTCCTGAACTCAGAGCTTAAATTGTGGAGGAGCTCACCGGAGGCTGGCTCCGGTACTTCTCAGTTTCTGAGGTATACCGCAATTCTAGCTGGAGCCCTAAATAAGAGTTCCAGTCCTTCTTTTATGTAAGTGAAACACAGTTTCAGCAAACAAATTTTCCTTTAAAAATAAATATACCTCTATAATCGATTATAACTTCCGAATTCTTGCCTGTCTTTCTCAGGGGAACAAACACTTTGACGTAGGTTAAGACTTTTAAGGAAAAGGGGGAAAAAAAAAAAAAAAAAACATTCAGTCAAAGGATCATTCTCCAGATAGTGCAACAAATTTTTGAAAGCGGTTAAAATGTTTTGGTCCCGAAAGTGTGAACAATGATTACGTCTTCCACGTCCAGTGCTAGTGACCTCTTGCTGCAGTGCACCTCAGACTTGAACTATGAAACCAAATACGGAGGACTGATTCGGGGAAAATTTTTTTGCCCGGTCCCATTCTGCTTGACAGCTAGAATTATATTGGCAGGGCATTGCGGTGAGAAAGAGTTGGGCACTTCTCTGTTTGTTTTCGATGCTACAAAGAATTTCCCCTCCCCCCCCATTGCAATCATACATTGTACTGTATATTTAGAGTCTAAATTCAGCCTGAGCTATTTCTTATTTTTTTTTTTTTTTTTTTTTTTAATTGTAAGTCCAAATGGAGCCCTAAATAAGATGAGGTCCTATATTTTATTTCTTTTATTTAACTACTTATAATTAATTTAATAATTTCTTAAATTTTTATTTATTTATTTATATTTTTGAATTTTAATCTTAATTTAATTATTTTAACTATTACTTATTTTATTTATTTATTCCCCCCTTCTTCCTGAGGGCCTTCCAGAGGGTTCCGGCACTTCTGATTTTAGAAATTAAGCCCTGCGTGACCTATATAACGTGGATTTTCAGAGATAGCTTCTTTTAATCGATCCTTGTTTGAAGGGATGGTTGTCCAGTGAGGGCATTATCTTCAAGGCTGAAATTTTAGCATTTGAATTTTTCAAACCACCTTCTAACTGTGTCATCAGAAACAGCAGTTTGACTGTATAAAATACAGATTTTACGAGCAGTTTGACTAATATTTTTTTTTTTTTTTTTTTTTAATAAAAGAGCATAATATGATGAAAATGAGTGGTCGAGCATGGTATGCACTGAAGCAAAAATTATGCTTTACGATATATTAGAATTTTGCATGAGCAGAAAGGGCCATATTTAAACGTCCACTTCATTCAAAGTCGCTACTTATCAGCCGTAACAAAATAATTAGAAAAAATGCGCTTTGATTTGAAGAATTGCAGAACTTTCCAGATGACCCAATATCTAAACTTAAATAATACTCTCTAAACTATAATTATTTATTAAAAACAAGCAATAACTATGTTTAGTTTGGGAGTTTTAGAAGTAGTTGTTCTCTGCAGTTTTAAAGTGGACATTTTTCATTTTTGAAGTTTTTTTTTTTTTTTTTTTTTTTTTTTTTTTTTTTTTTTTTTTTTAATTGTTGCAATGCTTCCTTTTTTAACAAAACTTTTATTTCTTCATAATAAGATCCAAGTAAAAATATGTTTTTAGTATTTTTCGAAACCGTTTTTTGTTATTCAGCACTTTTTTCTTTTTGAATTTTTCCTGCTATTATACAGATATGTGTGTATGTGTGTTCTTGCATTTATAGATGTTGCAGGTTCTCTAGACTTCTTGGCTTTTGAATCTTTATCTCCAAAAGAAAAGAAAAGGCAACATCACATTCATGAATTAATATCTACTGAAGAATTTTATGTGGAAGATATGTCAATTGTGCTTGATGTAAGTGCTTTGTGATAAAAAGATCGTAGGTGTTTGCTATCCTTTTAAATTACAGACACTTTGAAATTACAGTTAGGAACAAATGGTCATTCATCAGAAATATCAGATTGAGATGAAAATTTAAATAAGTTCCAAGAAATTAAAAATGCAAAATAATAAAAATTATTAATTTTTATTTAATAATCATATTTTATGTGTAATATAATAAATATATTTTTATATCTTAGGAGGTAAAAAACGTTTTCTGGTTTATTTTGAAAGTACTTATTTTTTCATTAATATTTATAAAATTTAATAAAAAATCAGAAATTATGCAGTGTTGAAATATTAGATTTAGCAAAATAACTGTCTGAACATTAGGAATTTTAATATTAGAAAACTTTCTTTTAAATAGAGTTATTTTAATATGATTTTTAAAAAAGTATCAATCATGAATGGTATTAAAAATGGATAATAATATTCCTTGATATTTTGATATGAGTGTTGACATCTTCTGAATTCTCTTGCTTTATCAATAGCATTAAATATATACCAGCTTATTATAGAAAAAATGAATAAGTAGATTTTTCTGGAAAAGAAAATTAATGTTCTCCAGAAGTTCAATGGCATTTCATTTTGTTAATAGATCGATAAATATGGCATTTAGCAAGATTCATGACTCAAAATTATACATATAAACTAGAGGAAAGGCTTGGCAATGTCTCCTAAACCATAGGTATACAATATTAGAGTCCCTGTGCGCTATAGTTGCCATATCATTCTGTCTTTTAACTGGATGTTGTTGCTTTATTTCTCATTTAATTTATATTAGACTCACAAATTCTGTAGCATGCTCTGTTTATGATTCTGGACTCATATTTTAAAATTACGACTCTATATGCCTAACAAATCTTAATTGTATTTGACAATAAGCTGATTGACATGAACTACTTCAGAACTTAATTCGAAATCGATATAAAACAAAATTTCTTAACAAGAAGATGGAAACAAAGAATCTATCAGCTGTATCATTGATTAATAGTTAAAATAGCTATCATAATAAAACATTTCTTTGTACTTTCATTACAAAATACCCTTTCTCTTTTTTAAATAATTATTTATCACTTCAAAAATATTTCATGTAACATTTCATTTTTCTTTTTAGGCATTCCAGAAACCACTTCGAGAAGCATTTGTTTTGAGTAAAGAAGAATTACGTTCTATATTTGTCAACTGGAAAGAGCTTATAGTTTGCAATACAAAACTTTTAAGGTATTTCTAAAGTCTGTTTATGCATACAATAGATAAAAACTATTCTTTACAGAAATTTTAATTTATTTTAAAATGTAAACTTTATTGTCACTTGTAATCTTCAATATGAATATTTAGAGCAGAGCTCTCAAACCAAATTGCATGCAAGCTGAATTCATGTTCTGAAAGCAACTGACAATCTGAAAGCAACCTGTATTTTTGTTTTTACTTTAATACAAAACTATTCTTAACAAATTAAAAAGTGTTCCTTATATTTTAAAGTTCACTTACTAAATATTTACCAAAAAATGCGCAAGCAATACTAATTATAATAATGCAAAAAGAAAATTCCAAACTACTGTACATATTTTTATCTAAAATATAAAGTTTGGTACCTGCAAACGACTTCTGTTAGGCTACATTTTTTTAAATACTTTCAAAAGCAACATTCAAACGTTATGCACAGTTCTAAACCTAGGTATTCATATAAGGTAGATCTAACAAACATGTAGTGATTTAACTACAGTATAATCCATACAGTAGTTTGTTTCTATTATATAGCAATATAAACCGTGCAGTTGTGCAACCAGCCAACAAACTAGCTGATTGACTCAAAGTATGCATCAGAAGTGCCAACTTTATTTATTTTTTTTTTTTTAATCGGAATGTTTGAAGCACCAGCAGCTGTCGGCTGACCAGTTAAATTTACTGATAGCAACAAAATGGTTATATTTCCACCTTACCCCAGACATGTAGCCTGGTATACAGTCATACAGTGGCAAAGCTCACATCTATTCATTTTATCTATTTTACATTCAACAGCAATATCGTACATAAATGCAGTCCATATCTTTATGTCTGTAAACAAAAACAGTAAGCACCATATTGATGACAAATACATTGTTATAATGTATTTGCAAGATGTGTAAAATTACTTCAGCGACCACACACAGCCCATAGGCTGCCAGTTTGAGACCACTGATCTAGAACATGTATGGTAATCACTACATGTTGTATCTTAATTTCTGAGTTAAATTTCAAAGATAGGATACAGCAGATTCAGATATGAAATGCTGTGACTGGCATCTGTATTTATATTTAATTATTTTTATTACCGATTGTCAATTTTTTTTATTTTTAAGTACTCCTCTTGGTGTTTCCTCTATCGTCAAAGATATTTTGATCTGATAAAAATCGTATATCTATCATTCATGTCTTTTTTTTTTTTCAAACCTTTGAATATGAGAGATAATTTTAATGCAGGTCAGTATTGTTATGTTTTCTTCATTTACAGAATCTTCCTATTTTAATTTTTTCCACTATGTGTTAGCATTGAGATTTTAGTTTCACTGCAAGCCATAGCAATGAAATTCACTGCATCAGAAACCATTGGTGTTTCCAAAATGGTACGAGTTTTTCATCATTGTCAAATACTAGTTTGAGAAAAAATGTTGGGGGAAAGAACATTTCAAGGGTAATTGATAATATGCATACAAATAATCAAGAACTTAGTGTAATAAATTTATATTTGAGTTTTAAACCAAAGTTGTTCCATAACATACTCCTTCTGTAGGAGTAAATGTTATGAAGCTAAAAAGCTTTTTGGAGATATATTTTTTTTATTTTATTAGAAATATAAATTAAGATAAAATAACACAACAAATATTAATTACCGTTATGTTTGCAAATTTTCACAGGAATAGTTTCGATGGTTTTACTGAACCACCATCCTCATCTGCTAAAGTGCAAATGGTAAGCGCAGCCCTTTTCATTTGCACTTTGGCAGCTGAGGATGATGGTTTGGTAAAACCATCAAAACTTGTCCTGTGAAAGTTTGCAAATACATATAATGCTGACTTTTGTTGTTTGACTTCTAAATTAATAAGATATAAAATATTTTCATAAGTACAGCTTCTATAAATAACTTTTTTTTTTGTTTGAAAAAGTGTACAAAAATGCTAGTTTAATACATTTACTAACAATAATTGTCATATATTGTGCAAAATAAAATTTATAGATTTTAATGTGAAAAAATTTATAAAGTATTTTAAATTGATCGTTTGTATTAAATACTTTCAGCTGTATCTGATTCAGTCATTGCTTAGTTTAAAAATAGATAAAACCTTAAGTCTGCTAAATATGCTGTCATTTAAAATAAAATTTGCTCAAAATGCAAAAGTAGTACTTTTAAATAATGCATATAAGTATTAAAAATAGTTTTTTAATTAATAGTTAATTTCATTAAAGTTTTAATTAATTTTGATTTTGTATTTAGTAATATAAATGTAATTAATTTTTAAAACTGCAAAAAAATTTGATTCTTTTCCTGTCTGTATTTCTTCCCCTAATTCTATTGTTTAGTGAAAATTCTTTCAGTTGCAAAGGATTCTGTAAAATGCAAGTTATTTTACTCGGTAAATCAAAGTGTGCAATGTAAAATATGTTTCATTTTTTGTTAGGAAACATTCCAGACTTCTAGGCCTGTTTAGGGTTTGATGGATGTCACTATCTCCATGCAAAAGTCAAAAATATGAGAATTTGACAAAAATGCATTGAAAGATCAAATTATGATATCTGCATATTGTTTTTGTATATGAATTTTTATAAAATGTATGCACATGCAAATAACAAAAAATGCAGATTTGTGACTTTACTGGGAGAACTAGTGACAACTATGGGGCACAATATTGTAAAAAGCATGTGGATGGTTTTATATGCATTTTTGGCCATAATTTATTTTACTATAAATCGTGGCAAATCAATTTATTTCATTATAAGTTATAATGCTAAAAACTGTTATATAACATTGCATATTTTAAGCATGTAAAATGATCATTGGAATATTTGTAGTTATGGTGCGAATATTATACGATACCTAGTCTAAAATTCAGACCTCCAAACCTTTTTCTTTTGTGTGAGTTTGTGAGAGAATTTTTTTCTCTATGTTTTACACATGCGCATTTGATATTGTTTACAGTAAAACATGTGACGAAACCCGATCCTAAATTTCACTTCAATAAATAAAATGCCTGAAGAAACAGTCATTTATTAGCATAAATCTCTACAATCAATAATTTGGTTCCATAACCGCCTTTCTGCTTGACCTACATTGAAACAATGTTGATTTAACACTTACTGAATAATTTATATCCTTGATGCCAAACTGCCAAATCTTTGTTTATTATTTTTTGTTTTCCTTACCATATTGGTGATAACACACAACAACATTGATGTCTAAACATTTTTAAAAAATGATTTTAGTAATTGAAAACTAAAGGAGCTTTATAGACTTTTATGTTGACATAACATTTGGCGATAATTACAAACTCCAGCTAACTGTGAACTGTTGAATGAATACAATAGGAGAAATTTAATAGAAATTTCTTTTCATGTACAAAAAATAGATTTTGCAAATAATATTCATATTCGAAAGATTACATTTAGTGCTGTTTGAATTGCAAACAACTAATTTGTTATTCAGTTGAGCCTAGGACTGGTGCCAGAACTGGCCCGGCCACACCGGGTGGTATAATTTAGAGGAGGCAAAATTTTTAGAATTTGCAACCGAGCACCGAGCAACGAAATCTTTAAAATTTATAGAAGTCACTGGGATTCAAAATTTTTAAAATTTAAAACATACAAAGACTGCATCGAGCTGCAAAATACTAGCACCTGCCCTGGATAAGCCTTAAATATGTGTAGGAATTTATTTATTTGGAACTTAGCATAAACAAACTTTCTCAAACCAATATCTGCGATGTGCACGTTTGTCACATAGCAGTTTTTATTTGATAATATTCTGGCTGATGCAAACAGGACATTTTTTTCAGCTAACATAGTCTTTTTACGTGAAAATTTTGTTAGTAAACTGGTCATAATAGTCAAAATGTCTAAATCGCCAAAAAGTGCACAGGGCAGATATTGGTTTGACAACAATGATAAATAATTAAGATAATATAATTCAGGCTTAACTTTGTAAGTATGCGATAGAAGCAAGACAAAATTTAGCAGAACGGCATGTTTTTAGTTTTTAGTTTTTCTCCAATTTCATGATATATCCGCAATAGCATATAACAGCAGACGCTAGCTAAGCTTTAATATCCGTACAAATTGTCAAGGCGCAGTAAGATAGCTTCCCCGCAAAGCAGGTTTAGGGTTGCCAGAAAATGACAAGGGAAGGCACAGTTGCCACATTTGCCGACAAAATTGGGCGATGTGCGATGGACGGATAGAGAACCTTCTGAAATGAATTCTTAACAGTTTAATTCAGAACGTTCTCGAACACAAGCCAAAAGCTATATAAACCCTGCTGTTACAGGGAGAATCAGTGTGTCTCGAGTTAGTCAGTCCATGCGAAGTCAATCGAGTTGACAGCCGGGCAGCGAGTGCCGAGTGGGTCGTCGAGTGCATCGAAATAGTCTCTTAGTGTACCGCGGTTAGTGCATTATCGAGAGAGTGTGTTGAGCTGCGGGAGTGAGGAGCTGTGTGTCTTCAAGTGCATCGCGAGTTGTAGCCTGGAGAGTTCGTGGACAAGCAGAATCGGGAGCTGTACTCTGGTGCTTTGCAGTGAAGCTGTCTCCACCGTTATAACCTGATAACCTGAAGGCTGTGTCGCTGGTTGTTCCAGCGAGTTTATTGTAGATCTTCAACAACTGTAAAACGTGACTTTGGAGCTGTCCTGATTAATACCGGCCAATAAAGTGTGTTTCAATATTCCATCAAGTGCTGTTGTCATTATTCACTCCAAATCCACACAAACCCCGTACAAATGTGAAGGAAGAAAATAACGTAACAACTGGTGTCAGAAGTGGGATTTGAGGCTGAATTCAATGACAGGAGCAATGGAAGAACTATTAAGACAGCTCGTGACTGAGTTTGCTCAATTCCAAGAGACGATGGAATCTGGACAGGAGGAGTTGAAAGCCGGTTGTGCTGAGGTAAAGGCCGGATAAGATGAGATAAAAGCTGGATATGAAGAGATAACGGCTAAAATTAAAGCCGGACCGGGAGAGATGAAAGCCAGCCCAGAAAATGTGCTAGAACAACTCCAGAGGATGAAAGTCGAGCTTGCAGAAGAAACTGGATCCAGAACAGAAAATGTGAAAATGACAGTAGTGGTATCTGGAGAATCCAAGGATGAAGCTAACGAACTGCCTGAGAAAGATCCAGAAATGATCGATAAAATATCTAAGGTAGTTAAAGAAAAAGAACGAAAACAGGAAGAAATAAAAGACGGGAAGGAAGATTTTGATTCTCATGTGCCAGAAGTAGTAGTGTATGTGATGCAGAGATGGGAGAAGCTGATGTACAGCTTAAGCAGTGCACTCCAGTACAGCCAGAAAATTCACCCACTTCACAAACTGGGCATGTGCCTCATAGTGCAGGTTTTGCAAAGGACTTGATTCTAAACCTGGATACTTCTGCTTGTAAAGGATCGGATTCTGTTCATGACCCTGGTGCAAACATTGGAACTGGCTTTCAGGATATAGAGATAAATGCGAATGATCTACAGAGTGGTGAACGAACTGTTTTAGAAATTCCAGTGCATGAAAAGTCTGAAAGGACTGAATCTTCAGACTGTGATATGCAAAACAGAAATGCGTCTGAGAACTGCAGTGGAAAAGTATTTGACCCGGGTATACCTTAATGAAAAGACTAAGACTGAAATTCATTCTGAACTTTGCATAATTTAAAATTTATTATGTGTTTAATTTGTGTATATAACTTGTATATAGTGTAAATATTTGTTTCTTTAGTTATGTTACTTGTTTGTTTTATATGTTTTCTTTGTATTGAATTTGGCTTCTGACCAAGGGTTGTACTGCCCGGAACGTGCAGTCCTTGGGGAGGGGGCAGTGTTACGAAATGTCAAGGCGCGGTAAGATAGCTTCCCCGCAAAGCAGGTTTAGGGTTGCCAGAAAATGGCAAGGGAAGACAGAGTTGCCACATTTGGCAAAAAGTCGCCCATTTGGCGACAAAACTGGCAATATGCCATTGACGGATGGAGAACCTTCTGGAATGAATTCTTACGTGTTTAGCCCAGAATGTTCTCGAACACAAGCCAAAAGCTATATAAACCCTGCTGGCACGCGGAGAGTCAATGTGTCTCGAGTTAGTCAGTCCGTGCGGACTCAATCGAGTTGACAGCCGGGCAGCGAGTGCCAAGTGGGTTGTCGAGTGCATCGAAAGAGTCTCTTAGTGTATCGTAGTTAGTGCATCGTCGAGAGAGTGTGTTGAGCTTCGGAAACGACTGAACCAAAGACTTGGGAGCTGTGTGTCGTTGAGTGCATCGTGAGTTGTAGGGGGGGGAGTCTCGAGAGTACGTGGAGTTCCGAGAACGACCAAGCAGAGTCGGGAGCTGTACTCTGGTGCTTTGCAGTGAAGCTGTCTCCACCTGATAACTTGAAGACTGTGTCACTGATTGTTCCAGCGAGTTTATAGTAGATCTTCGACGACTGTAAAACGTGACTTTGGAGCTGTCCTTATTAATACCGGCCAATAAAGTGTGTTTCTATATTCCATTAAGTGTTGTCGTCGTTATTCACTCCAGATCCACAGGAACTCCGTACAAACGTGAAGGAAGAAAATAACGTAACAATATGCTGACCGTAAATTTGAAGGTTTTCAGATATCTAAAAAAAGTGCAATTTTACAGTAAATGAAATTTGTGAGGAATATAAGTAATAATAAATGAAGATTTAAGATGTTATTGCATAAGTTTTTCGTTGCAGTACATTGCCCTTATCATCAATATGCTGTAATATGGTTTTAAATCGAAAGAGTATCACTATCAATGGTGAAGAAAATGACAGAAAAGTTACTAAGAATGAAAATATTTTGGTTGATAATTTAGTTCACAACATGGCAATTACAGGATTTGAAAAATAAAACTTTGTAACTGAAGAAAAAATATGTCTATCTATAGACTTTTTGAGAATGTATTAGCACAGAAAAACGAAGCAAATTAAACAACTTTCATTGAAAGAAATTTTTTAATAAAGCAAATAGATAAATATTGAACTTTTCTCATATGCTTTGATTATAATAATCCCTTAAGGTCATATATGCTTCATTATTTCATATATAACTATTTCATATTTTTAATTTTATAATAGCTACATGTCATCTTATTTGATTTAAATTGATAATCTAAAATCCGGAAAAATCCCGATTTGAGAATTGACAGAGTCCCAATGAGTCTGGATCTCCTACTTTGTGTTGTATTTCATTTAACTTAGCGCAAATTTTTTATTTTTGTGTGTCTTTTCTTTTAATAATTGATAAATTTATTAATTTTTACAGAGCTATGAGAGTAAGATGTCGAATGAGTGCAAATAATATTATTCAAAAAATTGGTGATCTCTTATGTGAAAATGTAAGTGAATCTTTATCGTGTAGTCTGTGAAATCTCTAATTTAATATAATAATTTTTCTTCATTACCATCCTGCTTTAAATTACGTTTTCCACTAAATTTGATTTTTTCCCCCACTTAGCTTCCACACTTTACTCCATATATTAGATTTTGCAGCTGCCAATTAAATGCTGCAGCTTTAATCCAGAATAAATCTGATAATTGTCCAAAATTCAAAGAAGTAACAAAAGTAAATAATTTTTTAATTATCAAATGTAATTATCTCATTTTGCATTATCAATCCATTTAAATTTTTTGTACTTTTTGTTTATAGTTTATTTATATAAATGCAAACTAATAGTTTTTAAATAATCATCTAGCAATGTACTATGGATCCCCGTACAAAAGGTATGCCTCTGAGTAGTTTTCTTCTAAAACCTATGCAGAGAATCACGAAGTATCCTTTGTTAATCCAAAAAGTAAGTATATTGTGTTGGCTGTCATGACATAAATGTAAAATTTGTATGTTTTAGAAAGTAATTTTATTAATTTTATTTGCAGAGTTTTTTAATTCTATATAATCATATTGTTAAGCATTAAGTAAAACTTGCAGTAGTTAGCAGATGAAATGCATTTCAGAATGAAGGAAAGTCAAGCATATATGAAATGAGCATTTATAAAGTCACACTCATTGTTGTAATGTTGATAATCTGAATTATAATCCACACAGATAAATATTCATTTCACATGACAATGTGTTTTTATCAATATTATTTACTATGTGAATGTAATAAACTGTTTATTATTGCATTGTTCAAAGTTTGGACTGAAATGTATCCAAATGTTTTAGCTGAAAGAGCCTTCATATCATTCTTAGGTGCATAAGACACCTTTTATTACTTTCCACTTCTTCGAAATTGTTAGTAAGACATTCAGATTGGATTTTGCCTTTGAAACAGAACTGATGAGTCAGCACCATAATTCTATGAACAGTCTTTTACATTAAAAATTCTAATTTTTGTAATGTCTTTTAAAATTTTGTACCATAGGCTTTCGAATCAGTGAGACATTTGTGGTCAACCTTGGGATTATGTTATATAGACCATACAGAAACAATTTCAGTTATCTAAAAAATGTTATTATATTTTAACTTTCTTCCTGTTTAATTTTTCAAAAAATAATTTTACTAACACCAGTTTAAACTTCAACATTTGAATATATTCTGTGCTGTTTTGAAAGAATTCTTTTGATGGTGTGTGGGCATGTCATTTTTGTTTTAATACTCGGTTCTTATGGATGCATTAATAATTAGCTGATCATTAAGCTGATTAGTAAATTTTGCTGCTTAACAAGAGATTACTTGTAATTTTATATGGTAATTGGAAAAGACAGTTGAATTTGATTTTTTTTCCATGCATGATGTCTGTGATTTTCAAGTTTTAAAGTGCTGTTCTAATTAAATATGGTTTTTAGCTCCAACAAAGGCCTTTTTTAAGAGTATTTTAGATTATATTAGCTTCAAAAGCACATCACTATACTAAATTTGATTATTTCATGCATATGTAACATGAACCTCAGAATTTCATCTATTATAATGAAAGCATTATTTTATTCACTGTGCTTGCCTACATAGCTGTAATCTTTTTATATCCAAGCATTATAAAAATATTCATTAATTAAAAAACGAAAAGGAGGAAAAAGTTCTTTTACCTTGTAATGCTAAAAAAGTTTTCAGATGTTTTCTTTTTCAAGCAGTCTTTAAAATTATGTTTAATACACATAGTTTTCTGTTTAATTAAGAACAGAATCATCACATATTTGATTATAATGTTTCCTTAACTGTTATATTTATTGCAAATGTTATATAGTCTGTATAGCTTTAACTGTTGCATTGAGTAGTTCCAAACAATCCATTCTGTATTCATTGATCTTTAAAAATCATAGAAAAAGATTCTAAACTGAATATCTATGTATTCTGCATGAATTGGCAGAGATAAATTTGAAACAATGGATGGAAGTTTTTGTTTCTCAACTTCTAGGCTCGAAAAAAGGTATGTCTCGCCTGAATAGTTATCTATGATGAAAAATGTATTCTTTAGTTCCCTGGTTGGGTTCTCAACTATGGGGAAATTCCCTCCTAGATGAGAATTTTATAGTTTCAGGGGAAAATGTGGTCAGCCTGACTGAGCATTCTGCCTGATATGCTGTTAAAAATTCAGAAAATAATCTAAATAAATGTATGGTTTTTTTTTAGTTTTGGAAAGGGAAGGATGAATGGAAAAAAGGTTGAGAATCTCTGCTTTAATAGGATTTAAAATGTAAAAGAGGTGTTATGATAAAACTAAAATAGCAAAAAGAAGCTTTCCTTTGATGAAAGTAATTCTGTATATCTAATGAAGTATGAAAAAAGTTATCTTTTATGAGTCATTTTCTGAAAACATAGTCATTAGTGTATTGTGAACAACTAAAGCAAGTTACTAATTCAGAAATCAAACAATAAAAATCAGCGTTATATTTTCAAAGGACTAGTTTTGATGGTATTACCGTACCATTATCCTCAGCTGCAAAATCTCAAATGGAGTTTGTCTTCTGAATTAGTATTTGTTCAGCATGTTATTGTGTCTTAATTAAAGCAAGTTATTGATAAAAGAAAAGCTAAGGGCAGGATTTCCTGTTATTTTTGCCCGTGACCTGAGAAATGCTACAGAAAATTAAGAAAATTTAATTGCGAAATTGTTATGTATTCACTATGTTTTCCTGACTTGGACTTTTGACATCAGCCTTTGCCCCCATTCTTTATAAACCTATTCTGAATGTCAGGCCAACAAACCTGGCTTTGTTATGATCAGGACTGAGATTTTGTTTCCTTCTGTTATTTTTATACGAAGGAATAAATTGATTAAAAATAAATATAATCCTTAATTTTTTAAACAGAAATTTTATTGTTGTTTAAAATTTATGATAAAATAACTCTGGTTTAAAGAGTAGATATTTTATCATAATTCTATTAAGTACCAAAATATTTCTGAGTTTTTATAAAGGATATAAAAGTGGACCCCTGTAAACAAAATATGTGTATTATTATTATGTGTAACATAAATACAAGCCGGGAAAATCACGCCTGTGCCTTTGCCAATCCTCAAGCAGATATCTCTTGTACTTTGCCACATACAATAGGCTACCCTAACATCCCATGATGAATATAAAATAAATAAATAATTTTCTTTTTTTTTAATTTTCATTTTTATAGGAATTTCTTGTTTTTCTTTTATTGAATGGAGAATTAAGATTTCACTTCATGTACTTTCTTTGCACGTTAAGTTTCTATTTTTTAGTTAAAGCGATGCATTATTTTTTTCATTTTATTTTATTTGACTTCGTTTTTCCTTTTCCAAAAGTAATGAGGCCTTTGCATTTGTTGATCAGTTGTTTGATCTCATCTTTCTGAGGAATAAACCTTAGTTTATAGTCTTTTTTTTTATTATTTTATATATTGTATGAGTTTAAAAGCATGTTTAGAAGTGTCATTGTTTTTCCATGTTTTCATTTATTTAGTTATATATGTATATTATTATTTCTGCATATGTTATAGGTAAATATGCATGTGCATATTATCACTCATATAAATTTGTAGGTAGATACATAAATATGTCTATTTATGCATGCGACACATTTATGTATCACATGGGACACATTTATGTGCCAACATACAACATACAATGGTGCCAACAACTATATACATATTGCTGTTCTTTCCATATTTATAGATGTTTTTGTGATGATGCAATAAGATTTTCACCTTTCTGAAATTGGTTCTGATCCAGTTCTGTAATTGGAACTGGATCAGAAATATATGAGTGTATGCATGTGTGTATGTGTATGCATATATGTGTCTATGTACATACACACATTCATTCGTCCTTACATACATGCAAACATAAATACATTTCTTAATCCGGTCCTGATAACAAAACTGTACCTGAAATTGTATGGCCCTGAAAAGTGTCTTTTGTGGCATTGAAAAGCGCCTTTTGTTGCATTTTAGTAACTGAAATTCAAACTCCCAAGAACTTTCAATATATATCTCCGAATTTATCTCTTTTCCTACTTCTTTACATGAAACACAAGTGCATATATGACCATTAATTTTTCAATGTTTGTGATTATGAAATGCATTAGGCGAAAATATGCCTGAGGTTCATTTTCGAAACGAATTTTGCGATGTGGATTCTTCAGTCAATTCTAATTTGAAATTGTATAGCTGCTTTGGTTGCTTTAGGATTGCATAATTAGTGACTCTATGAAGTATAAAGGTGCTATTCACTATCGTGTCTAAAAGGAACCAAAATATGTACATTCACCATTTCGAGGATTTTCTAGAAGCTGGGTAATATTTTCGACATTGATCTGCTAGATCTTCACCTCCCACATTCTTATTGTACTTGACAAATGTGGGTGGGCATGGTACTGGGTGTTTTTTGGTCATTACTGTGGGAGTGACTCTTAGGTTACCCTATTTTGAGTAGTTGCATGTAGTGTATTTGACTCCTTATAATGATTGGGTAAGTTTGTGAAGTTGCATACTCCTACTGCATTTTAAACTCAAACATATTTATTATTATTACTAGAACTCTTGACACATATATATATAATTCATAGATAGCATAGACAGGTATTAAAATTGAATTATAGTCCTCGTGGTGTGAGGAGTCTGCTAATGAAGGTCTCTCTAGTCGAGAGTTCAGGAGTGTTCTCTTCATGTTACTCTGATGGCGAAATTCTTCAGACCAAATTAGCCATGCCTTCTTAATTTTACAGTGGCATTTTACATCCTCTGATTTGTTATATCTGGAATGATATCAGAGGAAAAATCAGATCATTGGTTTGTCACCCCTCCTGAAATTGAGACAGACTTTGACGACAGACATGGTGAAGAACATTACAATCTCCTAACACTAGTCATTAAGTTAAGTCTAGGCAATGTCAAAACATGTCATGTGACACCTCATAAAGGCTGGGAGCAGTGAATTACAGGCACAGCACACCTGATTTACTTATCTCTGTGTGGTCCGCCACACGTGTAGCGATCTCGAGAACATCTCAACGCTTGCAAGTTTGAAAGAGTTGGAATTCTTGAAACTAGTGTAACAGAGCTCTTTGGGGCTAGAGGTAAAGAATTCTACTCGGTTATAACCGACCCAAGTTCGGGTCTCACTCATGCGATGCGGCACTTCTCACTGCCGTTAATAGATGGTGACACGGGTAAGCAACTGTCGAAGCTTCACTGAAACATGTGATCGCGACAGTACTACATGTTTTTCGGAGCCTTTTCTTCTTGTAGTAAAACATGGTTCATTTTTACAGTTTGTGGAAATCATATTCATAAATATTTTATCCAGCCAGGATGAATAAAGTAAATTTGATAGACTTTTGCTTTGCACAACTATGCTGCTGTATTGATTTCCAAGCTTCATTTGCTTGATGTTTTCAGGCATATTTTTCCGATTTGTCATCACAGTTCATTCAGACATCAAGTCTACACTGGTGAAAAATCTGTCAAAATAGATTTCGTGGTTTTTAAGTGCTTTTATTAAGTGCATAACTACTTATCCTAAACCCTTTCCTGACCTTTGTATCTGATCTTTTTTACCATAATAAAGTTCAAAGTTGTAAGTATATCCTAAGTGAGATGTGCAGAGCATCCATATTTTTAATCCACTTTTAGCTGGTTTCATAGACATATATTGCATGATCCCTAAGCTACCTTTAAATTTAATTAGCACTTCGTCAATTGATACTTCAGCATAAAGCTCAAAATATTGCTGAAATTTGTTTCTTTAATATAAAATGACAGGCTCTAATTTTTCTACATACATAAAGTTATCTGCTATTTTTAACTTCAGTTTCCCTATCTGACAAATGAAAATAATGCTTGATTTTCAAAAATCTCTTTCTGCTCATCATTGTCTTCACCATTTCATTTCCAAGCATTGCGTTATTTAACCAACAAGCACTTATTCTTGGTAATTTTACAATACTCATAAGAAGGACTGTAATGAATGCCCATATTTCATTTATAGGTGAAATTTTTCCCATTGATGATCAACGGTGCCATGCTTTCTTGCACAGAATTCAGCTTATTTATTTGTATTTGAGAGAATTAATTCACAAATTTCATCCCTAAGAAATAACTTTATATATTGTAAAGTGAAGCACCAACAGGTAAATTATGCATTGGTTGCAAAATGCTGTTAAATGGTGACAAAATTACATCATTGTTAACATTAATAGACTAGGTTTTTTACTGGATTTTCGTTACAATTTTCTGAAACATCTTCTTCCAGATTTGCTCTATGCCCATCTTCATCTTCTGCTATAAATGATTCTCCTTTATTATCATTTAGTTAATTTTCTATTTCTTTCATATTGCCGTCTTCTGATTCCAAATCTGACTCATCACTATAATTAATAGTAATATTGAAATTAAAAGAATAACCTCAATTTCTTGTTGAGTTAAAACTGTGCGATATTTGTGCATTTTGATTAAGGCTTAAAAGCACACTGTACCAAAGAAGAGTCAACAGTGAAATGTCACGTGCAACCCAAAGATAAGAAACTACAAATAAACCTGATACAATGCATTTGGGGAAACTGAACCTGCTACTCATACCTTAGGGAGAGGGAAGAAAACAAGATAGCAATCTCGGCCATTTGAGGCAGTTGTGGTCGTCTGAATGAACGGCTGTGTTGGGCAGTTTGGTTTTCAAAGAGTTAAGAGAAAGCATTACAGATGATCAAAATCTGCCTAATAAAAGCATGTACCAAATTTTAAGGATTTGATGTACAAATTATCAAATTCTAAGAATTTGATGTAAGCAATAAAAAGCATAGTTGCAATTTGTAAAATATTAAGCTTGTAAAATAAGTACGTTTCATAACCTAATGCAAAATTTTTATCTTTTAAAATTGCATTTAAAAGCTGTAACTGTATTATAAATTTAATACCTATATTTTTTAAACTGTTTATTTTAGATTCATGAATATACATCTGAGGAACATCCTGATCACTCATACCTAAAGGAAGCTCTAAATTTAGCTCAAGAATTATGCAACCAAGTAAATGAAGGTGTGAGAGAACGAGAAAATTCTGATCGTTTAGAGTGGATTCAGAATCATGTACTTTGTGAAGGATTAGCTGAAGTAAGTTTAAGAAGCTGAAGTAAGTTCAGTTTGTGAGGGATTAGCTGAAGTAAGTTTAATTTTTTAAAGTCTAGCAAACCTGGCTTCAACATCTTCTGTCTGTAGGTAGTCAGCAGATTAATGAACCATTAAGTCAAATGTATATATAATTCAAAATGACATATGATTTTATTTAATTGTTGCTTATGACAACAATTTAGCTGGCACCTTTAGGAAATTAGCAACCTAAGCAGCTGCTTATGCTTGAATGATCTGATCAGCTCTGATCTGAAGTATAGTAAAACTTTAAAACATAATCTTCATAATATTTTAATACAGTCAAAAGTCGTTAATTCGGACACCCATAATTCGGAATGATCTATAATCCGGACATCAAAACTAAAAACTTTCTGCGCATGCGCCGCGTTGACACATGCGCATAGGCGTTTACGCGTGCACGTAAGACTTTTTACGACTGCGCATATGATGTGCGCAAGTGCAGATAGAATTTTTTCGCGTGCGCGTTTTATGTATAATGGACGTATAAGCTAAAATTATCTAATTATCTATTTCAGTTAATGTTGATGATTGCGTTTTTCCTTAATTTTCGAATTGGATCCGGCTTATTATTTTTTGCAGACTGTAAGAGCAATTTTATAAAGTAAGCTTAAACTTTCGATTATATCAAATAGAATTTCCGATATATTTGTTAATATGTAAAGGATCTAAAGCGAAAGTATGTTTTGAAATCCGAAATCTGTTTATCAATTTCACGCTGCTCGGCGGGGGGGAACGCCGTGGCGGGCGCGTAATGAATTGGAAGTTGATCTGTCAGCACTATCCTTATCTTCAGCGCAGATGTTTTTATTTTATTTGGCTTATAATTCCTTACCAAATGTAGTATTTCATCTCGATATATGCTCCGTCTTTGATATGATTTAAAACAAGTTCCTCGTCATTATAATTCGCTTCCGATAGCGAAGAAAGTAACGGAGGTTATTGAAAACAAAAAAATTTCGATTGACAAATTAGTCAGTGTTCTCGACACAGCAATTATAGGACTTGAACAGCGGAACTTTGTAACTGAACAAGAAATTATGTCTGTTTAATAGAATTAAAGAGAAAGTATTATCACATGAAACGAAACAAAACTTAAACAACTTACATTGAAAGAAATGTTTAATAAAGTAAACAAATAAATATTAAGCTTTTTCTTTTTGCAAATTTTGATACCCTTTAGATCATAATTGTTCTTTATTTCATAAATTACGGTTTCATATTTTTAATTTAGAATTTCTGCATGCCATCTTACGAGATTTAAACTGATGATCTATAATCCGGAAAAATCGATAATCCGGAATCGCCGAAGTCCCGACGAGTCCGGATTAACGACTTTTGACTGTATTGAAACTTGTATCAAGGTGGTAATGTTGGCACTTGATTTATTACAAATTAAAAACTTTTAAGTTTTTAATTTGTACAATATGTTTTGTTTCCTGTCAAGTGAAAAATGATCGTATAGTATATGTATGTTGAATTAGTTATATCTATTTTTTTCTGTAGAGGCAAAACTGTATAATGTCTTGATATTGTCTTAAATCAGCTTATATAAACGAAAATTCTCTTATTAATACACTCAAACTTTAATAGTATGTACGTTATTCCTGGGACTGATGTGTTATTTTAAGTAGAGTAACTTCTAATCAGGGTTTAAAAAAATTAATAAATTGATTTGTAAAATTGTTTCATTACATTCAAAATTTATTCTAAAAAAAATTATAGTAGTAATATTTCCCCCCAAAATAGTGTAATTTCATTTTATTTAAAATAGCTGTCAATTTAATTATCATTATGTGAATTACTTTTAGAAGTTTCTAAAAACTGAAGCATTGCATTATCTTTGCTCTTTGAATTAATAATGCCTCTAGTTCATCAATGTTTGATAAAAAAAATTTTAGCTGAATCAAATTTTCTGATCAAATTCACTGTTTAAAACAAGAGGTTAAAAAATTAAAAGTCTCTCTTAAATTTTGCACATTTACAAACCTAAGCCCATTTCTGAACTGATCTCATTTGTAACATTTTAGTTAAAGCAGTAAAAAGTAGGAGTATTTCGAAATAATAAATTCCAGAGTTATATGAATGGAATAAATTATATGAATAAATAACTGAAGTGTTTGGAACTTTGAAAAAGAAATATGACAAGCAAAGTGGCATATTATCCCCACAGCCAAAGACCAATTAAAATAATTTGACAGTATTGATTAGTTTTCTGTTTTTATTGTTTTATTTTCTGATGTTGAGGTGTAAATAATGTTATTGTATTTCATTTAGCAAATCACCTTCAATTCATTGACAAATAGTTTGGGTCAGAGAAAATTGCTACATGCAGGTATTTTGTATAAAGTAAGTTTTTCATGCTTTAAATTCAGATTTTTAACGTAAAAATTTCCTATTACTATGTATTATAGCTTCATGGATATGTATTACATTTTAATATTTGAAGTGTGTAAATAAATATATTTGCAATGCCTGTTTCATTTTCAGTAAGATATGCAATATATATATAACTTTTTCAATCTAAAATAAATAATACTGATAATAATACAATAAAATTATGATAATCTGTAAATCTTGTAACCAAGGATTGTGTGGATTAGTAAATTTCAAATATTAGAGGTCATATCTTTTATTACATAGATTCCTTTCTAATCTGTATGATCAACCTTGATCATTTGCATATAAATAATTGCTAAAATATGCTGCTTAAGAATTAGTTAATCAAGATTGAATATATAGTTGTAGTATTTTTTAATATAATTACATCCAAAAAAAGTAATATCAGTACAAGAGAAAGATGTAAGATAAAATAGGGAAACTCTTTGATGGAGTGAAACTTTGATGCTTTAAGGATTTTTATAAAAAAAGAGTGTAGAGACCTTTTTTCATAAAAAGTGTCAAATAATTTTTGTTATGTTATGCAAAAAAATAAATAAATAAATTATTTGTAGAAACTCTTAACAGTAAGATGTTCCATAAATTGAGTCCTTATGCTAATTCTGCCATTTATTCTGTACATGTGATGGAATTAAAATTTTGGATTTATTAAAAAGAAAAGTGTTAGCCCATTTTAATGTTTCCTGTTTCTAATAACAGAAAAATCTGTATATGCATTATTTTAAAAAAATTTATCATTTTTTCCTACTAATATAAACATGCTTGTTAGTTTTTTTTTTTTTTTTTTTTTTTTTTAATTTCCAATGCTGGGACACCTGAACAGAAAAACAAGTAGTAAGGGGGGAAATAAATACAAGTAATAGAAACAACATCAGAAAGCTTAAGAGATAACTGGAGGTTATTTTCCTAAGAGTCTTCTAGCCTTCCAGTCGTTTTTGTCACTGAAGGGGCATGCAACATCAGTGAGAATGCTAGTATGACACAGATGAGTAGCCAGACAATCAAGTCTGGTGAGTAGTCAAAAAGCAACCATTGCCTCCCATCTTCACTTATCAGATATATCTAAAAGACAATTCCTCAATTTTGCACAGGTGTTTATCCTGGTATGTTAACTGCATAAATTGTCTTAAAGTTTAGTTTAAAGGTGAGGAAAGAGATTTCTTGTTTTTCGCACTATAACAACATGGCTGCCTTTTTGGCAAGAAAATGTGCCTGAATTTTACCATGTAAATTACAATGGCCAGAGGTTCACTGCAAAACAATATGTTTATATTGAGAATTCAAGGAAATCAGCAGCTCTTGATAGTGGGAAATCTCATATGAATATTGGAGCCTGAATAGAACTGATGGCAGAGTCGTAGCTAGGGTTTTAAGTGCCCAGGGACAACTGAAGATTTCGTGCCCCCTACTGCTTGCCAAGGATGGAAAACATTTAATTCTAAAATGTTGTAACATCAGTTTGGCGCCCCTTGGATTCTGCACCCGGGGACAGATGCCCCCCTTGCCCCCCTCTAGCTACACCCCTGACTGATGGACTGAATGGCAGCCTATGAATATGACTGTAATACTATATTTTTAATGGTCCGATGAGGAGTTAACTGTTTAAGTGTGATGTAGATCACCTCCACTTCACTGTCAAAGCCAGTGACATGGAGGTGATCCATACTTTCCAGCTGTGGTGTGCAAAAGAAAAATAATTTTAAGAAAAAATGTGACAGGCTTAGAAGAATCAAGCCTGGTAAATGTTCTCTTATTTGGCTCCAATGTTCTCATGTCTTGAAAACTGTAATTCATCTGCATAAACTTGCAGCCACTCCTTTCAGGATATTTAATTTCAGTAGTAGATCTATAACATTTTAGCAGATCTGCTGAAGTATCCCTTTTTTTATATGAATAGAGTCAAATTTAAATTTGCCTCTAGATCTATTATTTTGCCAATGGTTGTAGTTCTTCATGAAATTCAAAGATTTCTTTATGGGCCAGAACTCTCTGGACAAATCTATCCTGGGTCTTGAGGTTTCTATTTTTGAGCTGGTAATCCCTCAAAAAAAGTGTCTTTAAGTCTAATACGTTTTTCATAAAATACTGAAGCTCTCTCTTGAATAATATTTTGAACGGGTTTGATTTTTGTCAAAAACTATATTGCATCAATAAGTATGGGTTTCCTGCCCCAATTATAATCCTTAACTCTTGACTCTGTAGTTTCTTAAGCAAAGAATTTGAGATTATTATAAGTGGTTTGCAGCAGTATGTCAGAAGTGGATTATAATTCTCAAGATAGCAATTTCACCGACTTTTCAAAAGTCTCTTCATTGTTTTTCCCGTGATACTAGTAAGGAAGATAAGTTTAATTGTTTTTCCTGTTATACTAGTAAGGGAGATATTTAGCAACCTAGATCTTGATTTATGATTATTTAGTAGTGGAATGATAGTGGCATTTCTCCAAAGCAAGAGAACGAATCCTGTCTCCCAAAATATGGTCAAAAACTCCTTTTCTTTGCCTCTTCACCAAGATGTTTAAGGAATTCCTTATGGATATTATGTTGACCTGAGGTTTTTTAACTTTCCAGCAATTAAGGGCTAAACCCAATTTATGTATTCCAAAAGGGGCACTAAAAACATCATTTGAGTTGCTTCAATTTCCTGTATTTTTTCTAAAGGGTGTCTCCTTCTAATCTGTTTTTAGGAGCCTTAACATTCCTCTTGTATGTGTACCCTTTCTCTGAGACTTAGCACAGTTGCTCCCCAAAGCATTTGCTACGTCTCTGAGAGGTCAAGAAAATTTTCAGTAGAGATTAGTTCTGGTTTGTCTCTTATCCTGAATACTGGCCAAGGATTTATAGACCTTTATACTATCCTCCCTATAGTTTTCATTAGAAATAAAATTTTCACAAGACTTCCGTTTCACATCCAAAACTGCTTTTCTAGAAACTCCTATTTGTCTTCTTCAGAAGATTGCATCACCTCGCCTTCTAATGAGTTCAATCTTTTTTCTAAGCCTGTCACAATTTTTCTTCATTTCCACAAGTTCTGGTGACCAAAAACATTTATAAGTTCTAACTTTACCTCTAGGCATTCTGGCTCTTGCATGTTTTATGATAGCTCAGTTTATTTCCTGTATGAGCTTATCAGGATGACAGTTAAAGGCCAATTTTTCATCTTTTAGTTCTTGGTCCAAAAGTTCCATAATTTGTTTCCAGTTTACTTTCCGGAAAATCTATGATACTTTATGATGGTTTTCATTATCAGCGAAATAGCTTGGTTCATTAATACTAATACTGGCAATATTTTGTCTGTAACCTGAACCTGGGTCTTCAGTAATTTTTTTGTTTAATGCAAGTACCCATATCAGTAGAAATGCAAGTTCCATTACAGTGAATGTAAGTGTATGAGGTCCCCCTCATATATAAGTTTAAGAAAATTAGGAATGATATGCTTTTTTATTTCAAGAATTCTTGCTCATTGTGCAGTATGTAAACAATACAACTATAAGGTGCACATAAACAAGACTGAATATCTGAAAAGTTATAAACGAATAAATTTTTGACATATGTTAGCTAAATAAATTCAAAATTATTATTAAAAGACAGTAGATTGTTACCAAAAAGTATAGCTTTAACTAAAGAAAACATTTTGCAAAGATTCACGATGCTCATTTGCTATTAAAAAAAAAGAGAGAGAGAGCAAGAACTAGGATACATGCAGAAAATACTAAATAAGTTCGATAATAAAATTAATTCATTTCTCCTTTGCAAATATATTATAAATGTATACATTTTTGTTTAAAATATTATTTGCATTCACTTATCAGAAAAATTCCTCTTAAATTTGCAGCACTGAATTTTCAGAAAGTCAAAATTTTGCTTGTTTACATTCAAAATTCAGTAGGTATTTACAGTACAAAGTCCAAAATCCGGATTTGAAATTTTTCCGGATATTAGATCATCAGTTTAAATCTAGTGAGATGGCATGCAGAAACTATAAAATTAAAAATATGAAATCGTGATTTATGAAATAATGAAGCATATATGGTCAAAATTTACAAAAAAACAGCTTAATATTTATCTGTTGCTTCATTTTTGTGCTTATACTTTTCTCTTCGATTCTGTAGACAGACATAATTTCTTGTTCGGTTACAAAGTTCCACTGTTCAAGTCCTACACCTTATAGTTGTAGTTGCTGCGTTGAGAATACTGACTAACCTGTCAATCGAAATTTTTCCATTTTCAATTACCTCTCGTCACTTTATCGGTAACGGTATTTTCTGGATCTAGAACCATACAACAGATTTTGTCGTCCGACCATTGCAATGAAAAACTTCTGTTATATCATCTTTATTTATTACCGCTTCCCCACATTTCTTTACAAAATCTATTAATCGGAAAAGCAGATACGCAGCTAACAGAGCCAAATTATTGATCACACAAATTTATGCTAAAATGATTGTTTCTTCAATAGCAAGGTATTTTATTCAGTACCGAAGTAAAATAAAGAATCGGGATTCTCCACATGCTTTCTTACGAGGAAAAAAATTTAATGCGCATGCGTAAAGCATTAAAAAAAAATTACTAAAAATATTTTGTTGGTGGCTTTAAGGTCCGGATTTTAGATCATTCCGTACATTGGACATCCGGATCTCAGACTTTGTACTGCATAGATTATTTGAATTTTACTGTTGTAATAATAAAAAATCCTTACACATCCCTTTTGTTAAAGCTTGTAAGTTAGCAATATAAAATTTTTACTCTGCTTTTTGTAGCAGAAATTAATGCAGAATAATTAAAAATATTGTAATAAAATTCTTATTATAATCTGCGTTTTCAATTATTAATTTCTAATTTTTGTCTGTTGCTGTATTGCTCATGATTTTATTCCTGATGCTTTTATTGCTCATCATTTATAATCTGCCTAAAACAAGTAAAACTTTAAAATGTGATTTTATTTTGTAT